GGGCGAAATCGCCCGCCGCCCCCGTGTATTTTTTCCCCTGCCTGAGTGAATCACTCAGGGGCTCCTCCAAAGAAAAGAATAGGCTCGCATTGTACATTACGCAAAGTACGCATTGTACGCAAAGTAGGGTTACATTATTGTATCTACTACTACTACTATTAGTACTAGTTGGGTCGATGCGCCAATAATGAACGAAGATGCACCCAGTAACTGTCGCTGCTGACTAAACCCTCTTAAATTAACCATAATGAAAGGATAAGAGTAGTAAATTATCACACCATATCAATAGTCTGACAGATTATATTTTCCTGGACAAGTTTTTACCAAAAACCATTTTTCAGTGGAACAACCAGTCACTCGGTGTCACTAAACCTAGGCTATATAGTATTTTATCAAAGCCTCTATTTTATCTGTATCGAAGTTGTAGTCGTAGAGCAGAACTAAAACGTCACTCTGCCTAATATCTGTGCTACTCTATGCAAAACTGTGGTCGACACAGTATTCAATGAATGTCAAGGTCCCGTCTCGGTTCATGGATATAAGCGCTGACCACAATTCATTTTCGCAATGTGCGACATGTGCAATTGTGCAAACGAGGGAAGCTCTTATATCCTTGGGCCCCCGTCTCTACGGCGTGTCAGCAATATATAATTTAGACCAGTTGGTCTACCCAGGAGCTTCTAAAATCTTAATGTTAATAATGTTCTGAGGTATATTTTACAGGTTTCACGTATTTTACCCAAAAAACTTAATCTCTACCTTTCTAAGCATTCGCATATATATGTACTGTAATAATATGTAAGTATTGGACTTTAACCGTTATACATTGCTTGTAAATACATCTAACGACAACATGCCACAGTTACTTTTACTGTACATCAGTGGTTTGAGCTTATTGCATGATTGCATAATGGTAGTTATGCTTAACTTGTTAAGTATTTTCACAGAGTAGGTGTGGTTAATAAAACATTGTTCAATGCAATAGCAGGTAGTTCATTCATTGAAAAATACAAAATGAAAGTTACGCCATTTAAACCATTTTTAACTACCATACATTCACAACCACAAAATCCCATAAATTTTCTTACACACACTTAGTGTAGTTTACTAATTGGAATCATGAACTAATCACTGTTTTAGAACTACACATCTTTTAAGACTATACTGCAGGGTGCGAAATTAACGGGAGTCCGGAGTCAAATACTCTCTGATAAGACATATATGCAGGAGTCTGTGTGACTCCCTGAAAATTCTGCCATATACTAACTAGTTCGTTCGGAGCACGGCCTCGCAGAATTACTATATTTTTTCAGGTAATGCCCAAAGAAAATTTGGCAGATGTGCAACTGCATGAATCTTAAAAATAAGCACATGCGTTATTGTTAATATCTTTTAAATTTTAAACCTCAGACTGCGAACTCCCTCATTTTGCTGCGGTCTCCCTCTTTTTGAGGGTAGGGAGTCCGTTGGAAGTTAATTTCTACCCCTGATACTGTGCTCGCTCCATGAATAATTAAAAACATGAAATACGATTACAATGGAATGTTTGAAAGCCATTTTGAAATAACGATACAAAAATCGAACAATGACTTCAGTGGCGAGGTTTACTATTGCTATGAGTGCTCTACACTTTTACATCGGTAGACAGCAAGTCTATGGGCAGAGTGATAGGTGTGCAGGGTTCTCCCAGAAATTTCAGAAAGTATGTCATTTAAAGACAGATAGGGCCGCCTTCGGCTGTGATACCTCGGTTCCGACCAGACGACTAGCGGGCATCCATCACAGCCGAATGGGATTAGTACCGACCGTGGTTTATTCAAAATGGCGGCGCCCATACAGAATCGCACTTCAGCTTGTTTTTATGAGTTTTTGAGTATGATTATGGACGATGATGAACAAATTCTTCTCAGACAGCTTAGTCTGATGATGTCCACTCAAGCATTAGGTGTAGTGGACAAATTTCCAGTTCAACTGCCGAAGATAATCTTTTTCATGTAATGAAATTACCAACGCCTTCCACTAACGCCCGCCATCTTGAAACCGAGCTCGACCAACCTCCGGAGATTGGTACAACTCGGTCGGACTACGGTTCGGACTAAATCACGTTCGGGTGCATCTAGTCCCGACATAGTCAAGAAATCGTGCCACCCGAAGGCAGCCTAGGTGAGGCCCCATTTTTGTGCCAATTGAAGTCAATTGTGCATGCCATAACTAGCCTCGATAGATGTGATCTCAGTCAGTTTAGAATGGTACACATCAAGCTTTGAAAACAGTATCATAACATTATGTTTGAATTTTCAAAAGACAACACAGCTGGAAAATAAGGCATGTTGATTAGACAATCAAGACATGTCTGAAGAGTTTTGGGATGTTGCTAATTAGCTTCAGCTTTGAAGGCATGGCGGGCCCTGTGGCTATGAGCCTGCGGAGAACCCAAGTGCTGTGTACGTATAGCTGCAATGTTGATATTATTGCTTTTGAACCAAAACTGACTCGATGTGTGATTGTAGGGTGAACGTGATGGACGGTGTTGGTGCGAGGGTAGTCCGTGGCCCGGACTGGAAGTGGGGCAAGCAGGATGGTGGTGAAGGCCACGTCGGCACAGTTCGTAATTTCGAATCGCCAGAGGAAGTTGTTGTTGTTTGGGACAACGGCACAGCAGCTAATTACAGGTAATACTATATAAGTGTTGGATGTTGCACTGTAGTGTCTATTGTTGTACCAGTAATGAGAGGCTGTTACTTAGTAGATATATGTTTTGCTATAACGGCGATATATTTTTGTTGCTGTAAATAATATTTCATGGTTTTCTAACCATATTTTATTTACGGTTTTTATCTGAATAAAAATTATATTACTGTGGGAAAAAGATGTGATAATAGAGTCTGTATTCATGCGTGAATTTGCTTGTTGCCATAGGTGTGCAGGTGCGTATGACCTTCGCATCTTGGACAGTGCGCCTACAGGTATCAAACATGATGGCACGATGTGTGACACGTGTAGAATGCAGCCGATCTACGGTCTCCGCTGGAAGTGCGCCGAGTGCACCAACTACGACCTCTGCTCCGCATGTTACCATGGCGACAAGCACCACCTGCGCCACCGCTTTTTCCGCATCAACGCGCCGGGTACCGATAGGGCGCTGCTCGAACCGCGCCGGAAGAGCAAGAAGATTGCGATACGGGGAATCTTTCCCGGTGCGCGCGTCGTGCGCGGCGTCGACTGGCAGTGGGAAGACCAGGACGGGGGCAACGGCCGGCGCGGCAAGGTCACCGAGATCCAGGACTGGAGCGCGGCGAGTCCACGCAGCGCCGCCTATGTCATCTGGGACAACGGCGCGAAGAACCTCTACCGCGTCGGCTTCGAGGGCATGTCCGACCTGAAGGTCGTCAACGACGCCAAGGGCGGCTCGGTCTATCGCGACCACCTGCCCCTCCTTGGCGAGCAGGGCTCGGGCCGGTCAGGACCAAACGGCTTGCAGATCGGCGACCAGGTCAGCCCGAAAATTGCACGACAAGAATTGTAATTCAGTTCGATAAATTTGAGCCAGTTTTGGGAATCGAAATGTGTTAAGAGTCGGCATTTGTGCCAGGATAAATGCGTCTCGAAGGGGAAAATAACGCCTGCAAGTCAGCTTTTGGATCGCGCGTACGAGACCGTAATTATATAATTCGCATTTTTAGCTAACCCTTATCATTTATCTTCCCCTTCTGTCGCCAACGTTTAAGTGATTTTGTGTCACTAACGTTAATTTGTCACCTAAATCAAGTTTGTATGTCTCTGGCTGAAGGTGAACGTTGACCTGGACCTGGAGATCGTGCAGTCACTGCAGCACGGCCACGGCGGCTGGACGGACGGCATGTTCGAGACGCTCGGAACGACGGGCACGGTCGTCGGCATCGACGAGGACCACGACATCGTCGTCGCTTACCCGAGCGGCAACCGCTGGACGTTCAACCCCGCCGTGCTCACCAAGGTAGCAACAATAGTAGTGGTAGCTGTAGTGATGATGGTAGTAGTGGTAGCTGTAGTGATGGTGGTAGTAGTGGTAGCTGTAGTGATGGTGGTAGTGGTGGTAGCGGTAGTGATGGTGGTAGTAGTGGTAGCTGTAGTGATGGTGGTAGTGGTGGTAGCAGTAATGATGGTGGTAGTGGTGGTTAAAGCAGGTGTAAACAATT